AAAGTTCCTCAAGCTCTGATTTGTCTTGGACTTACGGACAAATCCCCGCCAATCACACTAAACCGGACAAACCCCAAAGTGACCGGTTCGAATTTCGATCAAGATTCATCTTCCACACTATATAAAATATAAATCTGTTTATTTCAATGAAGACAGAGTTTAAAAATGCTTTCAAAAGACGTAGAAAGAATAAGCTTGATGTATTATTCTCGTTCTTCAGATTGTTCGTTCGATTCAATAGTACTGTACCAGCAATCAATTAATCAAGTTGCTTTTGGGATGATAAACACTATGCATGATCAGGATTTGAGCAGGATTCTCTGGGTGTGTTGCCCGTTTCAACTCATGCAAATCACGTTTGGTGAATTGGTTAACTAGATTAGTTCAGCTAATTTTAATGCAAGATCTGTCTTACAATCAAAACAATGATGCGTCATCTGTTTTACAATTATGCAGTTTTTCTTTTATATTTATATATATATTTATAAAACGAGCCTCTTGAGAATCGAGATGACAAATTAAACAAAATGCCTGTCAATTATGGGAATTAATTCTCCGAAATGCTTTCAAATCAACTGAGAATAAGTCAATTAAGATTTTAAATTATTCTTTCTTTTTTGTAGATATAATTATTTGTACAAATGAAGTGGAAACGTTTAAATTAAGTTTTTGGCAATGGTACTTTCTTTGGGTGAAACAATATTTGTCTAATTAAACATATGTGAGTTAAAATCAATTTTAAGTTGTTCTCTAGCTGTTGAGCACTGAACAAGTGATCAATAGCAAATCGTTAAAGCAAAGGCAAAAGAAAACGCTAGTAATTATGCTAGAAAAGAGAAGATATCTTCGTCTCTCATTAGTAGATCTTTCACAATCCTTTTCTTTAGATAAGCTTTTATGTAAAACGTAATCAGTTCTTACAAAGAAAAAATTTATTAAAAAAATCCAATTAGGTTCAATGCACTTTTTGTAAGAAAAAAAAATTGCATTCTTTCTTGCATGGCAAACACGAAAATTTCCTTAATCATTATGTTAATTCGACACATAGTGAAATGTTTACATGAGAATTTATAAAAATTTTCACTATAAAAAAATCTATACTTTTTTTATTACTGCCCGAAACAAATTATAACTTTGCTATTTATGAAAATAGCTACTAGTACATCATAAAACTATACAATGTGAGAAAATGCGTTCAATAATTTTAAATTCAAATATTGTTTGAGGTATATCGAAATTCCATAAGAAACTTCCATATGCAATCAATGTATTTTTATCTTTTGTCGTCTTCAAAGAGCAGGTGCTTCCATAGGAATCAGTAAGTTTGTTTCCCCCCTTTTCCCTTTGTGCCGTATATCAGCTGAGAGAATGGACGTGGATGACAGCCGGAAGAATGATGATGATGTATATACGTAAAGCTCACCCTTTCTGTGTCCCGAATTCCCCGATGGATCTTTTGTCGTGAGCTCTGCTGTCTTTTCTATCTGTATGTATTTTGGAGAAGGAATGTTTTCGCAAAGACAATAAGTCGACTTTCGTTCAGATATGCCCCACTTTGATTGTCGTGGCCTCTTAGCTACTTCAGAGTAACAGGTCTAACTCCAAGAAATAAAAAACATTGTACTCTATTTTTTTAATACCAAAACTTTTATTCCATCGAATATTTTCAGCAACAATTCAACATGGCCGCGATTAATGAACTCTTACTCAACTTATTAGATCATATTACATCTTTTTAGATTATCGATCAATCATTAAAGCTGGCAACTTAACTAAACTCAAAATGTGATAAATTTGAAAATATTTTTCTACTAACTAAATTATGTTTTTGATTTTTAAGAGCTTAAAACTTTAATAATTACCATTCAAAAAATTGAAGCTACTTTATACATTCTACTAAGTTAACTTTCATAAAAATAAAAAAAAGATATTAATATAATCAAAAATGCTGATGTTAGTTAATAAAATAAAAATAATCTTTTTCTAATTTTCAATAACGAGCTTTCTTTTAAATTTTTGCACATGTTTAGTTTATTTAACACGTGTTACTCTAATGTTAAAAAACAAGAAAAAAGACGAAAAATATTAACATAATTACAGTTTTAAAATGTAAAGTGTTAAACATTACTGTAGAATATAATATATTCTAAAAACAATAAAAATTTCCTGTTAGAAATCCGTCTATCTTAAAACAAACAAACAAAAAAGAAATCCATCCAAAATAATGAATAGGCTTATACTCGAAAGTTTAATATAAATTGCTATTATGTTCTTAACAGCCTGAAGAAATTTAGCCCGAAGCAAACTTTGTAGAATGTTTTAGAAAGCCATAAAGTTGATTTTTCCACTTTGGCGAAAAATACTTTTTTTTTTTTTTTTTCAATCAAGGAAACTCTTGAATCTTAGAAAGGATCTAACTTTATGGTCTCAACTCTATTTGTTGTTCGGAAATTAAGAAAGAAAGGCTTGTATCTCTTCAAAACAGACGGAGATTTCTCTAATTAAAACGAAAACAAACTAAAGTCGTACCCTTTTTATTTTTAACCAGTTAAAATCATTTTATTTGGAAAATATTTGCATAATGTTATAAAAATTCGTATATACGTGAACGCGTTTAAATTTTTAGGAAAAAAAATTGTTTAATTCAGTTTCTTAATCAACTACCGTACTTTTTCTCGATTTTTAAAACTTTAATTTGCATCTTTAAGATTTGAGAACAATATTTACATAAGAAATTTAATTTTTAATCTTAAAAGACAAGTTAGTTAAATGAATAAAACCAGGAGTACCGCTATAAATAATTCGAATAAACTTATTAATTTATATTAATATTAATTTTATTTTTTATAATATATAATATCACATAAGCTATAAAATATTAAAAAAATAATTTTAGGAAGATTAAAGCGAGATTAATTATGTTTGTTTTAATTTTCAAACTACAACTTATAGTCGTGTAGGTTGCAATTGTATGTATAATTATGTAAGTTTTTATTGTTTAAGAATTTTGAACATGACAAAGCATTGGATAAAAATTTTAATAATTAAATTAATGGAAATTGAAGTAAGATAACCATAAATTTATTATTTCTCCTTATAAATTTGATGATATAGATTTGTATTGTGCACATTCTCATCGATTTAAACAAGGACAGTTTATGACAGCCACGTCATTCCTTCCATTGTTACCTCAGACATTTCCGATCATCGATTTGTGTCAGACCAAAAGCATTCCCTGCCCATTAACTATAAAGTCAAGACGGTCAAACGAATTATTATTTTTTCGTCTTCTTTTTTATTAGCATCAAACGTTCAACTTGATTAAACTTTCATGTCAACACCTTAATATGATTTGACAAGTCAGAATACTAGTATCGATATGTAGCACAGTTTTCGTAAGTCATAGTCTCTTAATGTTAGTTTTTTCACTCTTTTTTTATCTTTCTGATCTTCTTTGAAAGAAAATCTCTATAGTCCAAAAAGATAATGGAATTCTGGAAGTAAAGCTGTAGCTAGTCCCTTTATTAATTCCTCAAATCCTATTGAATATAAATTCTTTGGGGTCCAATTTAAGCAATTCTTTGAATTAAATTTGGTGAAATCTATGAACTGGGATCGAAGACAGGAATACCCATTAAGGTACTCTTAATTGAGTTTGTAAAGATGACTAAATGTCTTTGTGTCTATTTATTGGCGAAGTTATAACGCAAGTGTTTTAAACAGGTACATTTCCTTTAAAATTTCCATACGGCGTGTGTACAGATCGATTAATTTCAGAACAGATTAAGGACTTTTCTAAAGAAAAGAAAGAAAAAAACTACATAAACAGGTTAAGTTTCTATGCAAATTAATACCTGAGAATATTTCGCTAGCATTTTATGAGAGCTTTCTGCAGATGTCCAATTGGATCCATTCCAGAGGAAGTGCTTGAAAAGCAATTTGTAATTTTTTCGATTTCAACTTCTGCTTTAAACGTCTCTTTCTGTACATAACTATTTTTATGTAAGACTATAAAAGAATAACTTTTTAAACATGATTCACTGTGTGTATAGTTTACGATGGAACATCACAAAATAGCTATTACCCGTATAAAAATAAAACTTTTGAAAATAAAAATTTCTTGTGTAACATTCTCTATAGTATTGTTCCTATCATTCTAGATTTTACAACATATTTGGCAATTTGCTCCTACAAATGGACACAGTTTATTCTCGCCTTCCGTATACAAATAAATGTCGTAACACACTTTTCGAAATCTTCTCTGAGAAGCGTAAATTTGTAAAATGGAAGCTAAGTTTATGCATTACATTTCCCTCATATCTACTACATTTAATCATAGTTACGTAGAATTGGTCCTTACAAGGAAAAATATACAAGAATTAGCAAGATGTTATTAGGCGTAAACGAAATTACAGGCAATTTATGATAACCACAAACCATAATCGCTTCAAAACAGCAATTAAAAGCTTATTAACCTTTAATTGTTTGATGTTAGTCAGAATCGAACGTCATACGAGCAACGAAATACAATTAAAATATAAGTCAAGTAACTACCAGTGCAGATAGTTTTGATCAAACTCCAGAAAATATTATCTTCAATTTCATCTCGATCGTTACTTATCGGATCTTGCGCTTCTCCTGTTTCTCTAAAGTTATGACTTCAGTTCACATTTGACAAAAGAATCGGCCAACGATGCTGGGTTTTATGACTAGAAAAAAGAAAAATAGATAAGCTCTCCACCGAAGAAAAGGGAAGAAAAAAAGATATTGTTACAAACGATGATTTGTTAAAAGATTATTGACACCTCTACAAAAGTTAGCTCTGATCAAAACAAAAAAAAAAATCCTATAATGAAGCTTGTACGTACAAACTTACACTAGAGTCATATCTATCTTTAAATATTTCTCATCATAGAATTATTTATTTTTAAATTCATACAATGTCCATAAATTATTAATAGNATAAATAATTTCACTTCCAATGGCACGATCAGCATTCTTAGATATACACCGAGAAAGATGTTGGGATATGGAGCGCTGCAGTGTTGGGCTAGTAACAGCATAGGAATGCAAAAAACACCCTGCATCATCCGGATTATCCCCGCTGGTAGGTGTGGTTTTAATTAAAATTAGTGTCGAAACATTGTTAGCTTGCGGCTGAAAATGGTGTTTGTGTTTCATTGCGTGGACAATGGACTGCGGTGCAGTGACCTGACACGTCTCAAAGGATAAATACAATAGACCAATTTCCGTCCAGAATGTATAATAGCGTGCTTGATCTCTGTGCACGTACTTTATCACATTATGCTTTAATTTGTTGACAAATATTTTTTGAAAAATATCCATAATGTAATCCGATCTAGCATCTTATGATAACATAATCGTATATTCGACAGTATTTTAAATTAAAATTAAGATAAAGTCTAATGATTAAAGTTTCAAAGTTTAATCATTAAAAATTTTATAATTAAAACACCACTTTAATATATTAATTAAAATAATATTGAAAAAATGAAAGATTCATTAAAATAGTTTGTAATTAAATGTATGTAAAGTATCTTCACAAAGCTGAGTATTTGTTTATCTCCAAGGTCCACCGGAATCTTTAAGAGATTGTGTTGTAACAAATCAAACATTTGACTCTGTGAAAGTGGAATGTCAAGCCGGATATGACGGTGGACTTAAACAGCAATTTCATTTAGATGTGTACAATTCGGCAATCAAGCATCTTCAAGCCAATCTGACAGTAACAGATGTGCCAATATTCACCGTCCAAGACCTACCAAGAGGAACAACTTTCGTTCTCTTGCTTTACGCTAAGAATGCTAAAGGACAAAGCCAGTTTGTAACTCTGACGGCTACCACTTTATCTCCCGCAGCGAGGAGGTCAGGTAAGTTGCATTTAAAATGATATTTATTCAATCTGTATTATCGATATTTATCTACAGTTCAAATTAAAATACTTGTAAGTAAAAAATACCTTTCTTGTTAACTACAATGTTTCCAATTTGTTTCATTTCGGTAAATTGTCGCTATAATGATCAGACCGAGAGAAACTGTTCCATTAAGTCGAGTCAATACGATAAATGGAGAATCTGCCGGAGGGATTTAGACTTGAGTGCATCCACACTCGCATCAGTATCCATCTCATCACTATATGCAATTTGGAAAATAGCAAAAGAAGAAATTTCTAGATAATTTCTTGTCGAAATAACATTTCATCAAAGTAAAATTGTTAATAAAAAAACTGATAATCTAAGAAATGTGTCAAGAATAAAAATTTTTCAAAAGGAAAATAATAATAATAGAGAAGAGAAAATTTTTTATTAAAATTCTCGAAACATATTGGCGATAAATAAAAAGTATCTTTTATGTAATTAACGTGAGAAGAGAGTAACTTCTTAAATTTACGGGTAAATCATTTTTATCTGCAAGAAATAAAGTCTGGTCGATATAGCAAAGAATAGCAGATGCTAAGTAAAGAATAGTTGTCCGATCGAATTATTTTATGACAAAAGTATGACAGCATCTGCCATTCTTTACTTCCTTTCAGCTAGCTCCGAAGCGAGTGGAGTCACTCCAATTCTAGGAGTTCTTATTGGTGTTGTTGGAGCCTTGGTGATCATAGCTGTCGTTGTTATCGTCGTCATGAAACTCCAAAGCAACGATTCTGATAAAGGTAATGGTGCCAACTTGATTTACTATGACGTTTGATTTTGCAAATACGGATATCAAGATTTTAAGCTACAAAATAATTCTGAATTGGTTTACTTTTCTTCTTCAATTTATTCCAAGTCAATTAAACACGATGCCGATAACATATCCGAGGATACATTAGCGAGAAAGGCGAAATAATGAATTAATCATGAATTTTAATATACATTAAAATCAATTTAATTTTTAATGTTAGCCATTAAAGTGATGANTACTTAATGATAGACTCATAATTAATTTAATCTTTTCTTATCTTATAAAATTAAATGTGATAAGAATTTAATTTATAAGATAAGTGATGATTTTCATTAATTTTCTCTTAAAAAGCTCATAGCGATGTATTAATTTATTAGCAATAAATTTTGCTTCAATAAATTCTCAGGTTTTCTAAGCATAAAAAGATATAAGGAGTGCCCTAAGAATGCTAGTAATGGTGATAAAAATGAAGTATCCTACTTAATGTGGTTTATTTTATGATAGCTTTTCAGCATTCTATGTGACCCAAAGGAGTCGAACTTCATTTTGAATTTCAAAAACTTATTCCAAAGTGGATCTAATAAAAGTACTTAGAGATTATAAATCGATTATTAAAATACATTTGTGGCATTAAATCTGTTTTTAGTTGTGTTTTTTAATGTTTATCTGCATACCGCGCTTTTAATTTATCCAAAACGTGTTTAAAGAAAAAGAAAGTAAATCTCTTTAGAGTTCATTTAGATAAGCTACCCACAGTGTATGATTTACAGAAAGATCAATATGACTTTAAATCAATAGCAGAATAATCTCAAAACTGTCTATTAACATCCAAAAACCAAAAGTTTATCGATTCATAAGTACATGTTTGCAGTTTTATTTCTAACTTCATTTTTTATACACTTCAATTTAATAATGTCTCTAAAGTTCTATATCAAATTTCATCAGTTCATTGACTATTAAATTTACGATAAGTTAAGTTGAGTCTTAAACTTTTATATATGGGTACATTTAGGAAAAATGACTTTTTGACCGTATATAACTGCGGGGGATTTAATCTTTAAATTTTAAATGCGTTACATTATTGATATCTTAGAAATACTTATAAACCGTATAAATTCGACCACTTGAGAGTTTAGTATTGGCATGACATTCCAGATATAAAAAGTTTAAACATTTTTTTAAATTTTTGGTGAATTTTTCTGTTATGGACTATCAATGAATTCCGTTTCATTGACAGCTCTTTCATGCACTTATGGTTATAGTGAGAGCAATGACTTTATAGTGTATTTGGTAGTGTTCGAAGGCCAATTCCTATAGGAATATGATGACTCCAAGTCGCTCGTAATCTCACGGTTCGTATGATCTTATCATCCAAGTTATGCGCTAGGAATATTTTGATTTCCTTGGAGAGTTTATTGACAGAAGGCATTCAATTTCTCTTTCAGAGAATGTTTGTTGTTAGAGGAATTGAATCCAACGTCTTTCCTCTTCCTTTTTTTTCAATCGGATTTAAATTTTCCAAAAAAAATTTCATTCCAACGAACAATACTTCAAACAAGTTTCGAATATGCATGATTGAATAATTCAGAATAATCCACAATTGATGAACAGTTATTTTTCCTCCTAATCCAGCTTAATAGTATTTTTTTATAAGAATCAATCCCTACGGACTTATTAAGAGATATTATTTAGTATAGAAGAAAACTAAGATTAAAGAATACGGTATTGACAAAGTGCAGTGTAGCTTAATACTACTGATCTGTTTTTCCTTTCCACTGTTCCTAGCTGAAATTTTTCTGATGAGTTCAACAAGCGATATAAACTTGTAATAAATAGAGCAATAATAAAGGCTATAAAAATATAAAAATATATAAAAGACAAAATTCACGACAGTTTATTATTTATTCAGTACATAAAAATAGAAGAAAATAAACAGAAGGCAAGGGAGAGATTATTTCTTCCAAACGGCAATAGTTTATTATATGAAAGTCTATACAAGCAACCTTTGTAGATCTTATCAAATTGCCAATATAATATATCAAAAATTATCTCGACAACATAATCTGAACACGCCGCCGTAAGTATCAAATATATATGACAAACAACGAAAAAGCAAAATCCACAAACTATATTTCACAGATACATCAATGATAATATATCACAAGCAAACTTAGAAGACAGAATTTCCTTCTTTTATAATTACATAAAATATTTAAATAAAATTTTAAATATTTGTAATAACAATAACTCTTTTAATTAATATATCAAGTATATTTATTCAAACTTATAGAATAATTGTTTGGATTTTTCAACGATATATCAAATTTTTAATTGCTTAAAAATCAAACTCTTCAGTGGTTTATTCGAAAGTATTTATAAAGCATAAATTTAATTTTAAATAAATATTTAACAAAATAGGTAAACAGAATATTCTCAAGCTCTTACCGTTCCAAATTTAAATATTATGACAAATTTACAGTTCAATAAAAAGTAATTTTAGACTAAATAAATATTCATCTTGCATTTTATTTCCATTAATTCGCTTTGATAAATTGTGCAAATCATTTGATTGAACTGCATTTTATTCATTCCTTACATGATTCTTGGTACTAAAATTATCAATTAACTCTTTCGCGCGTTACAAACTACTGATATAAGCCTAAGAAAGAAAAAAACATTCTAGAAGAAAAAATGATGTGAATACTCAGTTGAAAAATTCCAAAAGTTGAAACTGCTTGTTGAAAGTTGGGCAACTCCACTTTAATCGTTCTTGTGATTGTTGTAGCTTCGGGGCAAAGAACTTTTAGTTTTATCCCCCTTCTCTTCTTCTTCCTTCTTACCAAATTTTTTTCTATTTGTTACCTCGAGCAATTGTCGTAAATATACAAAAAACTCTTAAATTTTTAAGATATTCTGTTAGAATAAATATTAAATTAAGAAATTATTGACTTACTGAAATTTACATATAAGAATCAGATTCAATAAATTACTTTTAACAGGTTATTCTCAATATTACGCCGTTGCTGGAGGGAAAATATCGTTGCCTTGTAACGTATCCTTCTCTTCGGAAGAAGGCTCGGTATCGCTCATTCTGTGGTATAGGGGCGATACCGGGGTACCCATTTATACATTCGATTTGAGAAGAGGTCCTTTGAAAGAAGCGAGACATTTTCCAAGTTCTGATCTTGGTGCAAGAGCTTATTTTGACACTTCTTCCAAAATACCTAACTTAAATATAAATCCAGTTCAAGTGGAAGACGAAGGAGATTATAAGTGCAGAATTGATTATAGAAGATCGAGAACTGTTAATTATAATGTGCGATTAAAAGTAATAGGTAAGTATAACTTTTCTATACATTAAGTTTGGTTATGTATTTGAATGTGACGATATATTGTTAGTGCCTCCAAAAGAAATTATAATTTCTGATGAGAATGGAGAACGTCTAAGAGATGTTATTGGACCATACGACGAAGGAACATTTCTTACATTGATATGCGAGTCAACAGGAGGTAAATAAAAGATAATTAAATTTAATTAGCTATTAAAAGTTGAAAAAAAGAAAATTTTTGAAAGAAACCATTGAGATAAACGCTACTAATCAAGCATTTCACTAGGATTTTAAGAGCCGAAACGAATGTCAAATTTTCATCTTCTTATAACTGTCACTGATTTATAATTTGTAATTTAGATGGAGAAAAGATTGCAAGAAAGTTTGTTCTTGTGATATGCTATTTTTCAGGTATTCCTTCGCCTTCTGTAACTTGGTGGAGAGGTTCTTCACTTTTAGATGACAGCTATTTTAATACATCTGACGGTGCTGTAAGAAATGAACTATTATTACCAAGATTGCATCGTTTCGATTTAATGGCTGTCATTACTTGTCAAGCATCGAACACCAATTTAACGTCGGCTTCTACTGCTTCGGTAAAAATGGATTTAAACTGTAAGTGTTAGCGGTCTTTCTCATTTATTTGTTCGTTTTGGTCGTTATCTTGTAAAATTAGAAATCACCTCCTTACATACTAATAAATCTGTCAGGATATAGTTCTCGCTTTTAATGCCGTTAAAATCTTAGAACCGTAACTTAAAACTGTTTAACTAGTCAAATATAAAGTTGATATACGATCTTCATGAATTTGTATCTTTTATATGCATTTTATAGATAGATTTTTGCCATTTCCTTATCCTAAAGACGAGAATCAAAAGCAGTGATCGCTGCTTTTCATTCTCGTCTTTAAAATTCTTTTCTGAGTTAAGAAATTAACTTATAACTATTTAAAAATTAAAACAAGGAACGAAAAATCTATCTTTTAATATAACATTTCGACTTCATAAACATGTTATTAACTCAATAATACATTTTAAAAAAATCTTTTAATTATAATAGGTAGCATTAGTTAGAGAAATGATGTTTGCTTGTGCGGTATTATGGGAATATTAAGAGATAAACAGGAATATAGTATTTGTTGTAGCCATTCCAACATATTTAGGTGTTATCTAAATCATTAAATTTGAAATTAAATGTATTCGTTGCTAATATCTGACACTGGCATCATTATGCTAGACTCAATGTTACGTTTGCTACTCTATAAGATTAGAAGTTCATAAATAGATATTTAGACAAGTCATAATATTTTAAGCGAANTCAATTAAAAAATGCAATTTCATTAATAATTGAACAGGAAGACGTAACAAAAGTAAAACGAATCGATACATCCATCATTTATATTTTTATACTTTAAAAATATCACAAATTAATTATTTTATTTAATTATCTGTCTTTAGCGAAGGGCTTAAACAGAAAACACAAACGTGGAGGATAAGACCAGCCAGTGATTGCTATCAACAAATGTTTATAGTATTAACATTTGTAGTAGGATTAAGTTAATTGTTCTTTAACCACATCCACGTGTACTTATTTATTTAAAAGAAGAAGAGAAGACGATTATACTTGAAACACAAGTATTAAATGAAGAATTAAATATACCGAGAAGCCAGCTTTTTCACACTTCGTTTAGCTGGCGAACATTTCCACTACTGCCGGCTCCTCCTCCTATTCTTCCCGTCACGTGACCACCCTTCATTGACTTTCTTCGACATCCGTTTTCCGATCAAATTCATGTATTATTCAGGCCACTTCCCGAATTGTTTGCTATTCCAACTCAAAACATTGATTGTGAGACTAAAAAGATACAGCTTTTTTATTCTTTCGTGTAAATTGCTTTTTTTTTAAACTTAATTCTTTTTAATATACTTCAAAAAATCCGATAATATATTTATTTCGTTCGGTAGGAAAACAGAAAATTAATTTTTACTTATATACATAAAACATATTTACATAAAAGTGTACTGTATTTACTTAATTATTTTTATAACCGACATGAAAGAAAGACTGAATATTTGATTAGAAAGAAAGTTTACATAACTGAATACAAGTATAACAAGATTGTATACAAAGCAAAAGAAAGATAAAATAATTATAAACAAACTTTGGTATGTGACAAATACGTAATACACGAATAGGACTCTTAAGTCGGTCGCTAATGCCACTTTCTCGAGATTAAATTGATGATAATTCAAACGATTAAACTGTCAGATTTCTGAATAAAATAACGTTAAATGATATTACAGACGAAACTTTGATGGAGTCACGAATCATGGTAGAACGAGGTCGACATTCCCAAGAGTATCTCGAATCTTAACTAATATGTATTTCTAGCATCACCGAATAGGATCAGAGAATCGCTGCGTGACTACAGAATACCGAACTTCTATTATTATATGTCATTGAGTCTATTATCTGGCACAAGGGATCCTCTGTAAATGCAAAATGCTCCAGTAATTCATAATTTAGGATGTGCAGAAAGAAAACAGAGATGTATTAAGCAAGAGACGAGGCGTAACTTTCTATCTTTAAAATAGATCCTCACGAACTACGACTTCCTAACATCTCGCAGACGGTATAACGAATGTGAATGTGATATGTTCTGTGTTCCATTACATAGAACACGACACTGCTTGTCGAATAAGCTTTACTATGTTACATTTTACATAAAACACGAAAAGAAAAGATCATTGAAAAACTTTACAGTTTCATAAAATTCAAATTGGTATTCAAAATACGTTTGGGCATTTTCTTTATGATGTATTCAAAAACACAAGGTACAGTAAATCCTTTAATCAAAAGTAAGGTTGTAATGTTACAGGTTTATAAATGAGTAATGTCAGACTGATCAGCTAATTATCTATTTGAAAATAATCATTTCTAGAATCAATTATACATTGATTTAAAAGAATAAATCATTTCCAAGTCTTATAAATGTCTAAAAATCAGATCATAATGAAAACCATTTAATTTGTTATATTATTTATAATAAAATAAATCTTAAAAAATCCGAAATTTGTTATTTATTTATACAAACACGAAAGTGTAATGCTAATTATTTATTTTNGTTTTTTACGTGATTGTAAAATTGTATAGAGTAATAATTCATTCAAAAATTACTTAAAATAATCCCAAAAGAGTTCTTAGAATGTTTATGCTGTTTTGTAACTATAATCTAAAAATTGACTTTATGAGAAAGTTTAAATAATTTTTAACTCTTCAAAGCATAGTTTTTAAATCACGCAAACTAAGTTATTATTTTTGGGATTAAAACATTACTTTTCTGTAATCTTTTACGTGATTGTAAAGCCATATAAGGTAATAACTCATTCGGTCATTTCCTACAGAAAATAGAACGATCATAAAATGGCCCAATTTGACATTTACGTTTGATATTTATAATTTATTTTGAACATTAGAAAAATTTAACTTTGCCAAAAAATATATTTAAATATTTTAAAATTTATTTCAAATTTTTTATAATGAAATAAAGATAAAATTTATTATATTCTTTACAAAATCTTATATTCGAAATCTGCCAAGAAATAATTATAAGACGATTGTTAACGGCATTGTTCAAAAGACAGTTAAACTTCTGACATAACAAAAGAAAGTTTCTATAACAATTTTTATAGGTATAATGCAATATTAAGAAGAATCACAGCTGTACTTTTGTAATTCAGACATAATTTATTCTATCTTCAAGAAACAAAATTAATGTTCCTACTAGAAGCAAAAGATTGTGTAGACATAAAGGATCCACTAGACAACACTTCCTCGATTCTTCATTTCATACAACCAATTGTTTGTTCGAATGATAAATGAATGATACCACGGACACCATTACTTATATACTATTTTTGTCCAGAAGTAATGAGAAGACTTTCAAAGGATAGACCTACAAAATAACCTCGATACTGATCAATTCTCCGATGGATAGCTGCACACTGAATAATACTTGGATAATTTTTCATTAAAATCAGGTCTGAATTGATAAGATTTCTCTGATAAGTTTTCCATTTCTGAAGTAAAATCATTTCAAATTAATTAATTAAAGGAAAATAAATAACAAAGATTTAATAATGTAATAAAACGAAACTGATTTAGTGTATCTTATTAAAGGAATTTCGAAAAAACAATAAGAATAATAATCTACGTGGAATTTAATTTAGCTAATTAATTGTAAATTTTTACTAATTACAGATTTATTCTATGCAAATATTTACATAACTGATTTCAGTTTTTATTCAAAAAATGCTTTCAAATAAGTTATCATTTTTTTCTAAAAATTATGGCACAGGAATACTAAAAAGCGCTTAAAAATTCATCTTATAAAGAAAAAAAATACAATTTATCTATTTTTGGAGTAGCTTATTGCACTATCCACTATCTCCCATTACTTTCTTTTTCCATTATCCCTTATGTTTTCAATCAAATTACATAAGAAAAATTCAACACTTGAATGATGTTTTTCCATTTCAGAACTAAATATTTCCGCACTGTAGGCCTAACAGTCGTACTTTTATCAAATAGAAACTTTGTTATATCGACGAATAGAAGAGAATTTCGTTTTTTTTGCTAACAATACGTCAGGATTACTTGCCAAAATTAACTTAAGTAAGCCGAAACCCTCTTCCAAGAAAGTTCCTCAAGCTCTGATTTGTCTTGGACTTACGGACAAATCCCCGCCAATCACACTAAACCGGACAAACCCCAAAGTGACCGGTTCGAATTTCGATCAAGATTCATCTTCCACACTATATAAAATATAAATCTGTTTATTTCAATGAAGACAGAGTTTAAAAATGCTTTCAAAAGACGTAGAAAGAATAAGCTTGATGTATTATTCTCGTTCTTCAGATTGTTCGTTCGATTCAATAGTACTGTACCAGCAATCAATTAATCAAGTTGCTTTTGGGATGATAAACACTATGCATGATCAGGATTTGAGCAGGATTCTCTGGGTGTGTTGCCCGTTTCAACTCATGCAAATCACGTTTGGTGAATTGGTTAACTAGATTAGTTCAGCTAATTTTAATGCAAGATCTGTCTTACAATCAAAACAATGATGCGTCATCTGTTTTACAATTATGCAGTTTTTCTTTTATATTTATATATATATTTATAAAACGAGCCTCTTGAGAATCGAGATGACAAATTAAACAAAATGCCTGTCAATTATGGGAATTAATTCTCCGAAATGCTTTCAAATCAACTGAGAATAAGTCAATTAAGATTTTAAATTATTCTTTCTTTTTTGTAGATATAATTATTTGTACAAATGAAGTGGAAACGTTTAAATTAAGTTTTTGGCAATGGTACTTTCTTTGGGTGAAACAATATTTGTCTAATTAAACATATGTGAGTTAAAATCAATTTTAAGTTGTTCTCTAGCTGTTGAGCACTGAACAAGTGATCAATAGCAAATCGTTAAAGCAAAGGCAAAAGAAAACGCTAGTAATTATGCTAGAAAAGAGAAGATATCTTCGTCTCTCATTAGTAGATCTTTCACAATCCTTTTCTTTAGATAAGCTTTTATGTAAAACGTAATCAGTTCTTACAAAGAAAAAATTTATTAAAAAAATCCAATTAGGTTCAATGCACTTTTTGTAAGAAAAAAAAATTGCATTCTTTCTTGCATGGCAAACACGAAAATTTCCTTAATCATTATGTTAATTCGACACATAGTGAAATGTTTACATGAGAATTTATAAAAATTTTCACTATAAAAAAATCTATACTTTTTTTATTACTGCCCGAAACAAATTATAACTTTGCTATTTATGAAAATAGCTACTAGTACATCATAAAACTATACAATGTGAGAAAATGCGTTCAATAATTTTAAATTCAAATATTGTTTGAGGTATATCGAAATTCCATAAGAAACTTCCATATGCAATCAATGTATTTTTATCTTTTGTCGTCTTCAAAGAGCAGGTGCNTCAAACAAGATTTGCAAAAAAGAAAAAAGAGAAAAAAATTGCATTTTTTCAGTTCCATTATTTTTCTCGATTTCTTTTTTCATAGAAATGAAAATATCACGCGAAGCATTTTAAACACTTTAAAATTATTTACTGTTTTTTTTTAAAAAATATATATATAAATCCAATTTTCTTACGAAGAGATATGATATTGAAATGGGACATTCGATTTTTAAATAATATCTATCGACAAAAAAGTATAAATTTTAGGTGATGTTTTTATTGAAATAATCCAATAAAACCTGTTTATCTTTCAAGATCAAAATATTTTCAGAACTGTATTTCTACCCAGTGAGGCCCTTGAACGTACGAATTACTACTTCCTACCGGCCTGTCTCTTATGGAAAGAAATTGACCCTGGTATGCGAATCCAGCGGATCCAGACCACCTGCTCATCTGACCTGGTGGATAGAATACAAGAAACTGCAGAGTGGAAGAAACACTGTTTCTGGAGATAATAACATCACCACAAGTACCCTCACCTTCCAACCGAGTATTAGCGATAATGGCAAATATGTTTCCTGCCGTGCAGAAAATCCTAAATTAAGAAATAGCGCCATTGAAGACAGATGGACATTAAATATTTACTGTAAGTGAGTGTTTTATAAAGCTCATTTCTGTAATTGAATAGAAATATCCGCTATAAGAACTTTCTATCTTGTAATCAAATTATACGAAAACTTTTTTGAGAACGTAAGGACAAACTTTTCATTTTCGTCATCAGCAATTTTTAATAAATTTCGAAATATTGAAAAAAAATCAAATATTTTCTCGCACATATATTAAAATGTACATAAATTTCATTGTTATAAGTGATCTCACTGAGTTTTAAAACTGTTCGATCAGCGGTTAAACATATATTAGGTTAACAGTAATTAATTAATTAAATGCATATTAAAACCAATTATGTAATTAGTCAGTCGTTTCGAAAATTTATTTTAAAAAAGTCTTCAGATTTAACGTA